ACCCTGGGATCATGACCTGAGCCGAAGGCAGCCGCTTAACCGGCTGAGCCACCCAGGCGCCCCTATTTTTCACATCTTAACCCCTCCTCTCTACCAAATCCTTCTCAATGCAACTTGAATATGCTCAATTTGTCTATACAATGAAAAACTGGTTGGACTCCATGACACTCTTTAGCAACTATTGTATCAGTCCTTTTTTCATTTCAATAAAACACCAAAAATAGGTGTTTACACTTGCTTTCTACACTTCTCCAACTGACTTCCACTCAAACTAAGTAATTGCAAAGGTCACGGATTACTTTCTTACCACTAAATCCAAAGGATACTTTACAATTTCCTTATCTCAGGAGAATGTGACACCTTGAAATGGTTCATCCTACAAGTCTCATGATTTTTCCTATTTCTCTCTTATCTACTTGGAAATTCTGAGTTTCTCAGAGTTAGGTCCTGGATCCTTTTCTATACTCTTCCCTTAGGCAATCATCAACTCACAAAACTGCTCTTTTATCCTCACCTACCTAAATAACATTTCTTCATTTATTCAAACCAAAAACCTGTAAATTTTCTCAATTTCTATCCTCTTCCTCTTTTCCCATAACCCATAATGATCAAGTCCTGTCAAATATCCTAGATCTCTCAAGTCTGTCCACTTTTCTCCTTCAGCTATCACCACTCCTCAAGACAGTATTCGTTCTTCCCTGGACAACTTAGCCTCCTTAACTGGTCTCCTTGAATTTTCCACTGGAACACTCCCTCACCAGAATGAACTTTTAAAACCAGCCTGGAGTTTTCTCTAACTTCCCTCCCCTTATCGCCTTTAGAGAAGTCTTTATTAACTTCTTTCCCTCACCACAGACTACATAGTACCAAATTCTCACTCTATTATATATTCTTATAATGCCCTTGGCACTAATAATTATAGTAATTGTGTAGACTCTGAGCTCCAGGAGAGTCAGAATCAAGTTCTCTTTACCTCCCATTTAAGCATTCAAGAAGTTTTTACTACCACTAAGTATGTAGTATGTGCAAGGTACCGGATTGTTCCATGGCACAGAATAAAAAGCAATTACAACCTGATAAATGCTATCAAGGAAAGTTGAATGGTGCAATGGAGTAATTGATAACGGGGCTGAGGCCTAAGGCCTAAAGAATGAGTGAGTGAGTACACAGTAAAATATAGCATTCCAAGCAAAAGAACAGCTAGTGCAAGGACCTTGAGATGTGAAAGAGCCTGGCTTGAGAAACTCAAGAGAAAGCAATGTGGCTAGAACACAATGGGCAAAGGAGAGCAACAAGATGTATTTAGATAGGCAGGCATCATAGTAAAACAAACACCTTATTTTATTCAAAGGGCAATGTGAAGAAAAAATTTTTTCTCCACCCACTCCCCACAAACTAAAATTACTTAAAAAAAATTAACCTAGCTTTTGGTGGGGAATATTCGGAAGAAAGCTCATAAGAATATTACAGTGGTCTAGGCAAGAAATGATTTGGATGAGAAGTGGGTTCCTTTTCACTTGAGGTAAAAATGCTTATACTTGTTACCAAACATAGAGAAAGGGTGTGAAGTGGTTATCATGATGATGTTAGAGAACCTAGACTGAGAAATCTAGGTAGTGATTTCACTTACCCAGATAAGGATACTGGGAGAGGAACAGATTGAAGGTGGGGTAGAGAAAGAAATGATTTTGGGGTGTTATGTTTAATTCTGAGGTAGGCAGTTGAAATTACAAGCCTGGAACTATGAACAGTTTGGTCTTAGAGGTATAAATTTGCGTGTGATGGTACATTCATACTGAACGCCAGAGAATGGACTAAATCATCGAGAGAGAGAGTGGAGACATATACAATAAGCCAAGGTCAGGTATTGGGAGAGGAAACAGGGTTGGACTCAGTGATGGAGCAGCCAGGAGAGGTAAGATAACCAAGAGAGAACATTTCCAAGAGTAAGTCATTAACCCTGATGAATGCTCCTAAGGCAGTGAATGAGCAGAAAAAAAGAACAGATATGGCAGCATGGAAAAGAATGGTGATCCTGATGAAAGCAATTTTCGGAACAGTTGTGGTATATGATATATAAAGTGGGATTAAATGAGAAGAAATGGAATGTTTGACAACTCAGATTAGCTCTGATGGGAACCAAATAAAAGGGATTATAGTTAGATGGAATCACCCTCCCCATATCCGCCCCCCCCTTTTTAAAAAGATTTTATTTGAGAGAGAGAGAGACACGGCGAGAGAGGGAACAGAAGCAGGGGGAGTGGGAGAGGGAGAAGCAGGCTTCCCACGGAGCAGGGAGCCCGATGAGGGGCTCGATCCCAGGACCCTGGGATCATGACCTGAGCCGAAAGCAGACGCTTAACAACTGAGGCACCCAGGCGCCCCCCCACCCCCTTTTTCTAAGAATAGTAACTACTAGGGCACATATATAGACTGTTGAAAGGATCTAGTAGGAGAAAGTTTGATGAAAACAGAGTAGCTAATTCAAAGTTTTTGAGGTGAGGAAGGATTGATTTTTGGTAAGAGTGCAGATCTGTAGATGGGCTTATAAATTTGGTGGTGAAAAGTGGAGAAAATTCCGGTCACGTTTTTCTATTTTCTCAGCAAATGTGATTAAAACGCATTGATGGAGTAGGAAAACTGGAAAAAAAAAAAAAAGCGTGGAAATCATTTAAGTTTGTGGAAGCAAGGTATTACAGTAACACTGCAGAAAAACTGCCAGTTTTGAGTCTGAGATTACAAACTTGCCTGTTGTAGTAATTTCCTCCCACTCAACTGCTCAAAGGCAGACAGGTTTTGAAATTGTTCTAGATCACGACAGAGAGAGGGGCATGATCTGAGGATACCTGCAAAGGAGTGCATGTAACAGCTGGATCTAGTCTCTAAGTAGGACAAGTTGAGGACAGGGTGAGCGGATGAATAATGAGCAGGTGGTAGGATTAACTGACTAGTTGAGATGAGGTAGAAGTATTTTTTAGTGGAGATATCCCAAGCAGGTGAGCTAGCAGTTTGTGGCTGGACAAAGGGAATCTGAATTCCAAATATGGAAGTGATACATGTAGGGCTCCCATTTATGGAGAGCAGATCACTGAAATGAAGCACCTCTACTGAGCAAAACCACTGAGAAATAAAGCAGATACGATCATTTTGTTCACTGAGAGGTAGGTAGTGTTGGGAGGCACAGATAATAAACAATATAAAATTAAGAACTGTTACAAAAGGACATGTGAAACTTATCAACTGGAATGGATAAACTGGCCAATCAGAAAAATCACCACTTGTAAACAGATGATACATGCTGCACTGGTGCACACACCTGCTGATTCTCAGCCCTGGTTTGATGAATGCCATTTCAGAGGAGTGTTTCCTAAAATGTGCTCCTTAGAACACTTAGTAGGGTATATCTGAGTATTAACATTAACAAAGAAAAACATTGTCAGTTAAGTATGAAAAATTCCCATTTAACAGTTAACATGTTCTCTGCACAGAACTTTCAGTCTTTAATATACTGCTGTGCACTGGATTCTTTTAAGAGCGAGCTACAACATGCAGTTTAGAAAACTTTGATGACAGAAGTTCCAACCTGGTAGTAACTCATTACAATAAACATTTTGAAAAAGGTTGCCTTACTGTTTTACTGTTTCTCAACTCTGTTAACATCTTTTCTTCTGGCCCCCACCATTTTTTGCCTCAAGTCTCCCTGCTTTTAACTTCCAACTTATCCAATCTATCCTCTATATACTACCAATTATCTTTCTAAAATTGGCATCTGGTGAAACTGTTGAACTTAAATGCATTCAGTAACCACTTAATAAATCAAAACTGAAAACTATATGGCATACAAGAACCTTCATGATCTGGCTCATTTCCTCTTCAGCTTCTCCAACCCCCTATCTTTCCACATAAACCACTTGCAATACTGCAAATGCACTATGCTGCTTCATCATACCTCCATACCTAGAATTCGTTTCCCCTATGACCATCCAAGGACTGGTCATTCATCTTTCATGAATCACTTTTCTATAGACTTTCATAAACACCCACCCCTGCAATAGAGCATTCCCTCTTTGATATCTCTAGCTATAGTATTTATGAGTATTTATGTAATCTTAATAGCTACAGCAACTGTTTGCTTACCCAGTGATCAAAAAATTGCCTTGCCAAAACTCGATCTCTGTCTAGCCCTTTAAAATAATTTATGCTGAATTTAACATTGCTGAAAATCTCCCAAACTGTTACCTTTTCACTTCACGATACATTTTGAATACGTTCTGATCTGTAGATTCAAATTCTTTGGGTTTAGAAGAGGGAAAAAAAGTCCATTTTTAAATGATAAAACCTAGGCAAACTAAGGCTGTAGGAAGAAAGTATCTCAAGACAATAGACTGAGGAAAAGTATACATGAAAAATATATACTTTAAGATTACTTTTTTAATACTTAGGCATTACATTCCATATCAAATTTTACCAACATGCTGTTCTATAAATTAATATTTTATACCATAGCTTGATTTTTGTTCCATGCTAAAAAGCCCACTCTGCCATAATTACTTTTAGCAAACAGTACCTGGAATATAAAAAAAATTAATTCAGTGTTGGCAAACTTTCTCCTGACATGTAGAATACAGAAATGTCTAAGGGTCAATTTTCTTGAGCTAATGAGCAAAAGAAAAGCCCCAATACAATGGTATTTTCACTTAACGGTGGCTCATCACTACATTTACCAGAAATAAATCTCCTTGCTATTGTACTGTTTAGGGCAGTTTTGCCAAATGCCTATCTTTAAGAACTAGGTCAACTTCCAAGAAAACTGTACGGAAACATTCAGTTGTTAACAAAAATTTAATATTAAAATTATTCAGAGTTAAGTTATTGTTAATTTAGGAAAAAAACATGTATTAATTACCCATAAGAACAACTTTTATTTTAATAAATAACAGTGGGCTTACCAAAGGGAAGGGATTTTAATGTGTCAAGTTTTATGCATACTGGTAATAAACCTTAAGGAGGTGAAACCAACTATTCAATATAACCCATTAGGCCCTAAAAATAAAACTATAATACTTTAATAAAACTTAAAAAAATATTTTCCAAAAGAAAATAATTCACTCCTTGACCATGCTTATTTATTCAGAGTACCAGCAATTTCAGTTAAGTGCTTCATTTTTCCTGCAAATCTGATGTTGCACAGGGAATATACACATTTTCATATTATTACAACATTGTCAATATCTCAGGCTAATAATATTGTGAATGCAACTGGTTTATAACAAACACAAAGTCAAAAATCAATGCTACTATTTATGGCAAACAGAAACAAAAGTAAATTCAAAAGATGTTTTCTTTTGTTTCCAGTACTGACTTTAGTTGGACTTCAAATGAAGGTAATAAACTCTCCTGCAATAACCTCTATCTCTGCCGTGAATCCACAGTATAAATATGGTGAATAAAGCTAAACCATAAGAGCTAACTATATACTGAATAACCAAAATAATCAATTATAACAACTAATACTGCTCTGGAAGACCAATCTAATGAAAAAAGTATCATTAGATGTGGTGGGAAAATACAAATCTGTACAATCTAACATCTATAAACAGTAAAATCAAAACATCCAACTTCCTTATAGAAAGTGTTTCATCTATGTAATTATAAATGTTAAGGACTCTTGCATTTTATAAACACAAGATGGGCTCACTTTGATGATACCAATTTTAAGATTTATAAAAATGTTTAAAAAAATCTTTCCACAAAAGTTTATACAGTTTAAAGCTATACACCAATCTATAAATCTCAGAAAATGGGAAAAAAAAAAAAACTTTATAAGATCACATGTATAAAACAAGAAATGAAATGTGATTTTATTTAAGGCAATACTGGGCTACTTCACAAATCACCACCTCAAATATTTACACTGCTCCACACTACTAGTTTCTATCACATTCACAAAGGATTTTTTTTTTTAATACCAAATGTTTAAAATCTTTGATGTAGTAAATTCTTTATTCACATTTCCATTATATTTCATGGAATCATAGTAACTATATCCAATTAGAAGCACTGAAAAAAAACCTGTAGCTATAGGAAACTGCTAAAGAATCTGCTATAATTTCACATGAATACCATCCCAAAATCCTGGAGGATAAATTTACAAAGCAGAGCAAGGTGTTGATATAATGTGCCTACTTTGTGAAAAGTAATTTTGAGATCATCTTGTAAATAAATGTTTTATGTAAAAAATCAATGAACCATGGCAGAGTTTCTACTTTTAGTTCAAAAAATTCTTAATTTAAAACAATAAAAGAGCAGTTTTAAAAACTTGATCACTTAGTTAAAAATTAAAATTCCAAATATAAATGTGTCATTTAATAGTTTAGACTTACACACTGCTGGTGGCAGCAAATGATTTACAGTAATAAATATGTACAAAAAAGATATCTACAGACTACTGTTCTACATGAGCAGTGACCTGGTGAAACATAACAATCACACAGATAATTCAATTTAGTTCATGGAAAGGGGAACTGGCTGATAGAAATTTGAGGTGTAGTTCAACTATTTACAATAACTGAAGTATTGATTCTGTTCCTCAAGTCCCATAGGGATAAAAAAAAAGTTTTACATGACAAATGTCATGTTTTTTTTTTTTTTTCTTTTTGGCCAGGTTAATTCACGTCAGCAACAAAAATTAATGAGAAAGTTTCACAACTCTAGCATGCTTGATGGCTTCCTACTTAAAATAAAACCGTAAATAATGTATTTATAGTACATTAGTTATCAGTACTGCCCTCTACCTGTGGCTTTACCCATACTAATTTCTTTCATAACAGACACATCTGGATCATTTGAATGTACTTCAAGTTTTTTCAGACTGACGGTAGGTTTCATTTCCTGAAGTTGTTTTAACACAAGTTCAGTGCAATCTTTAAGAGTCTTGTCTAAAACAATTTTTACATTATCACTGCACTGAAGCTGTGATGGATTGGCAAACTGTACAAAGGTGTCACTTTCTTTACAAGAACATACATGATTTCCACTAGTCACAGCAGTCTTATCAGTATTTTTTCTTGAATTTGAATGGGATCCTTTCTTATTTCCACTATTTGGATGGTCTTTGTCAGAATTTTTCTTCTGCTTTACTGCAGACTCCTCAAGAAACTTCAGAAATGATACTTCAAATCCCATTGGTTTAAATGAGCTCCAGTCAAAAGATGCAGTATGCTCCTCCGTGGTTTGAATTGCAACAGCAGTTTCTTCTTCTTTATGCGTACTACTTAACTCAACTGCCGATGCTGGTTCTGCTTTTTCAACTTTTCTCTTTTTATTTTGGGAGACATTTTTTTCTTTATTAACTCTCTTCAAATTACTTGTTTTTTGTTTTTCTGACTGGCAGGGGTTATTTTCCTGAAAATCATTACTTACATTTGAAGAGGTATGAGCTTGGGTCTCCACACTTGCATTATCTTCATTTATTAATTTTGTAATAAATAATTCTGTTAGCTCATCCATTTCATCTTTCTCATTTTTTTCACTTTCTCTCTGTGGAACTGTAGCTGTTCTGGAGTTATCACTGCTCTCTGATACACATGTGTCAGAATTTTTCACATCACTCTTATCACCTTCTTGCTCAGAAGTGTCCTTTAGTTGTGAGTTGCAACACCGTTTGAAGACAATGAGAAGATTACGGTGTTGTGATGTAAATGCCTTTGATAATTTATGGCATTTATAATGTCTAATTATATTGCTTTCACTTGTAACAACCGATGTACACCCTTTTATCATACATGGATACTGGGTCACAAATCTGCTTGTACACTCAGATAAGGCATCATTTCTAGCCTTTATAGAATATACGTGCTTTCCACGTTTCAGAGAATAAGGCTTATTTTCTTCAATCTGCACAATTTTTGCAGTCTTGTTCTCTAAATTATCTTTTTTCTTTCGTTTCGTCTTAGGCATTTTGATTCCTTCCTTTCCAGATCTGTGTTTTGTCCCCCGATACTTAGACTTTGTCTTTTCTTGGTTTGCTTTGCTTGATATATTTTCCTGACCAGGTGTTAATCTTCTTGGCCGAATCAAATGAGCTTTGTGTTTGTCATTATGCTTATTAAAAATGTGCCGGAGGAGATTTGACCGAGTTGCATATATACGGTCACAGCCTTCACAGTCACACTTGTATATGCCATCTTCTTCAGTTTTACTTCCCCTTATCCCAATTCCATGATCTGCCTCAAGATGAACAACATAGTTCAAGTATGTGGTAAATGAAGACTTACACTCTAACTGGTCACATGGAAATTTCCCAACATCCACAGAAGCAGTCATACTTTCAATCTCCTCAGGAGTCATTTCATGAAGTTTCATGTAGTGTTGTATCAGGCCAGTAATTGCTTGGAAAATTCGAGAACAGTCACTCACCTGACATCGAAATTCTTTCACAGTCTGTTTAGTTTCAATTTCTTCACTTTCTTTACCAGCTTCACTTTCTTCTTCAACCTCTGCAGAAAATGCAGGTAGATCTGACTTGTGTACAGCCTGGTAATGCAGAATTAAGTTTTGCTGTATAGTAAAAGCGGCAAAGCAACCCTGGTGAACACATCGATAAGGTCTGTAGGGACTGTATCTTGTTGGAAACTCAAGGGAGTGAGAAACTGGCTTCTTGCGTTTTTTCTCCTCCTTTTCTTTTTTATGTCTCCTAATTTTCCGTCCTTTGGTTTGTATGTTTGTGAGAGAATTTGTATTACCTTGTTCTGAAGTAACTGTGATCACTTGCAAGGAATTTTCTGTTTTTTCAGGACTTTTTTTTTCTACAAGTTGTTTTTCTGGGATCACTGCTACATTACCAAGGGCATTTTCCTTCATTGCTCCCAAGTCTAAAGCGGGCTGCAATTCCCTTTTATTTTCCTCTGTCATAGTTAGCTGTCTTTTTACTTGTGTAACTCGTGGGGCTGACAAATTTTCACTCTGGGATTTTCTTCCATAAGGCCGTTTTATTTTTAACTTTACCATTTCTTCTGTTGTAAAATGATGGACCAACTGACAGTGCGCCCGGAGATTAGAATTTCTTGTAAATGTTTTTGTACAGGTAGGTACTACACATTTAAATGGAGCAAATTTCAACTGATTCTTCTTAATTTCAAGAATCATCTCTGGCGTGTACTGATGAATCTTACCATAGTGCTTAAATAAAGCATCCTTTGTCATAGCACTGTAATTACAGCCTTGGTTTTGACACACAAACGGTTTATTAACTTTGTCACTAAACTGAATGTTGCTTATCATTTCAGAAACTGGCTGAACAACTGTGACATTTGGAATTGGTTTAACAGGAGTGGGAGTCAGTGTCACTGATGTATTTATTAGTACACACTGGGGTGCTGGAGTGGACAGGTCATTTTCTAATTTTAATTTCTGCAAGCCTTCTAAAATTTCCTGTATTTGATCCTCCTTATGTAATACTTCAGACGGAGGAATGTTACTTTTTGCTGGCATGACACCTACGAAGGAAGAAAACTGAGAAGAATCAGGTAACTTGTTATTTTGTACAGTGTTTACTGAAGGAAGCTGAATGTTATAATTTATTTGAGCATTCTGTGATGTTTCACCAACACCGTGAGATCCACTTTTTACCTCAAGTATTTGAGAATTCATAGCACTTTTAATAATTTCAAGAGTCTTTTCAAAGTTTTGTATAACATTGTCTTCAGAAATCTGCAAATCAGAATTTATTGAAGTCGTGCACGAATTCAAAGCCATCATTTGGGAATCACCATTTTCAGTTTTTAATGTTAAAGGAGCTAACACTGTATGGGACTCAAGATTGGTTTTAAAGTTTTCTTTCACATCAGTAATAAATAACTGATTGTCAACATTATTTAATTTCTGTGTTAGATTTTCCACCAAACCCTGAGGCTCACAATTTGGAATTACATTTGAATGGAGGTTACTAGTTGGTATCTCTATACTCTTTGCTATAAGTCCCATTGCTGTTAAGTCACTTGTTACCAAGTTTTGGGAAGCATTAGGTGCAATTAGGGGAGGAGCAACTTTCTTTCTTCTCTTCGAAGCACTGTTTCCCTTCTTATTTAAATGACTAGACCTCGTGTTCTGAGGACCACTTATAACTGAAACACGTGAACTGTTATTGGTAAAATTTTGTGATGGCCCACTAGAATTAGGGAATGAACTAGAACACAAACCATTTTCAACAGTCTTCAGTAGTAAGTCATTTGTTGGGAAAACAGGCAAACTGCTGCATTCCTCAATGGAGGAAGTTTTGGAGTTTGGGGTCCTATTCTGGTTTGTCAGCAGGGGGTTTGGGTGGCATACAGTCTGCAACAGGGGTGGCACAGCTGGATTTGGCATCACTGTTGCACTTACTTGTGTCGCATCTGAAACACAACCTGTTGGAACATGAGAAAGCATTTCGGCACCCTCAAATGTACTGGGAATGCCAGCAGTTTCCAAAGCCTGTTTAATAATTTCACTTCCTTCTTGACTAACACTGGTACTAAAGCTAGTCACACCAGTCCGAGGAAATGTATTTGGTAAAAATGTTGATGAGCGATTTTCAGCAGCAAGAAGTTGCAGGAATGATGGATCTTTAAAACATGCTTCTGGACTGAAGGTAGACTGTTGCGGCTGCTGCAAATTTACTGCATTTGTGGAGAGAATCATGCTGGCAAGAAGAGAAGGCTGTCCATTATTCTGTAGAAGTTCTTGAGCAATTTCTGCTCCATCCAGTGGTTTACAGTAAGATCGCTTAGACAAGTGTCCACCCAGAGATCTGGGATTAGTAAAAGCCCTGTAACACCTGCTACAGATAAATTTCCCATCTCTGATAATTGCAGGCCATTTAGCCCTTTTGTTGTGCTTGGGTTTTCTTTCCTTCCCATTTGGGATCCGCCCACGGTCTTTTTTAACCTTTTCAGGTGCAGACTGTTGGGCACTGGTGCTATTAAAGTCATTTGCAACATTGACTTGTGAAGAAAAAACTGCATTTTCACCATTACCTCCCTTTAGAAAGGAGGAATTAGTGTTTCCTTCAATCTGTGAGGAAAAATGATTTGTATTATTTTCCAGTTGGGAAAAAACAGAATTAGCCCCATTATCTGCTGGTGAAGGGAAGAGAGACATTGAACTACTTTCTGCAGGTAGAGGAAGGAAAGGATCTGAGCCACTGTCAATATTCAAAGGCAAAACTGTTTTGGTTAGATCTTCCATTTGTGCTGGCAAGGTAGTAGTAGATAAATTTTCCATTTGGGAACATATAATACCACCACCTTGTTCATTTTTATCCTGAGAAGGTATATTTGGATTTATGACACTTTCCACTGAGGGCAACAGTGGAGTTGACACACTTGTTAAATGAGCTGGAAAAATGGAAGGCGAGACATGCTGCAACTGATTTGAACAAGTAGGATTCCCGTTGGCTTTGGTCTGTGGTGTAAAAAATGCATTGTTAGAGCTGCTCACCTGTGATGGCAAAAAATAAATAAACTTTCCATTATTTGGTGTATTTAAGTTGTTAGATTTCTGACCTTTTTTACTTTTGCGCTGCATTTTAAATGCAGCATACTGGTCAGGGTGTGCTGTCTTCATGTGTTTCCCAATACTCTGTGAAGAATTATAGGTTCGAGTACATCCCTCAACCTGGCAACTGAATTTCTGAACTGGCGCTTTTGGAGGCACTGATGGAGTTCCTAAAGAACTACTTGGGTTGGGCTGTGGTGGAACAAATGTGATACTTTCCAATGTCTTAAGAGATAAATTATAAAGATTGGATGATGTTTTAACATTACCTCCACATTCAAACTTGGAAGCTGGTAAACTGTTTTGAAATCCTGCCTGATTTTGCACAGAAAAGGTCATCAGGTTGTTCACTTGTCTTTCTAAGTTTTGTGGGGTAAGGTCACCTATTTTGAGGGTTTCTGAATTTACTAAAGAATTCTGAGTAATCTGGGCTTCATTAAAGCAATCCTGTTTTCTTTCTTGAAAACCTGGACGACACAAATCATTACAAGTATCTCCAACTGGTGTATGTAAGTCTGTGACCAGTGATTCAGCAGTGCCTTCCACAGCTGAGTTTTCTTGCTTTCCAAAGTTATCCTCGATGCCCTGATTGAGGGACACTTTAATGGATACAGCTACTTCACTGGCCTGAAGCAGAGGAGTAGTCACAGGATTTTCCAAACCATCTGACAATGGTCCATCAGCTGGCCTGAGCTCTGATGCAGAAATCTGGTCTTGTTTGGTCACAGCTGATTCTGCTTTGCTTTTATCCCAAGCATCACTTCTATCTGCCGGTAAGGTGTTTTCAATATTATTTTCTGAGGGAAGCATAGACCCCTCTTTCTTGATGCTCACTTCTGTGTTCGGATTCACTTTAGAAGGCTGAACACAATCTCCAGATGAAGTATGTTGGTCTTCAGGAGGCAGCACTTTTTCAGGAGTACTGTGATCGTCCAGATGCTTTTCTAGCTCACTCTGAGAACGATAAACCTTACCACAACCTGTGAACTTACAAGTATAGGTATTATAATGCTGTGCTTCATGATCATACAGTAAATAAGCTTCTGAAAAAATTCTGCCGCATTTAGGAAACATACACTTTGCTCTAAAGATTTGATGTTCCTTTCGGTGTGTTAAGAGCTCTGCGTAACTATTAAAACCAGCCTTACATTTCATCTGTATACAGATATATGGTTTACTGCCACAGTGCATTTGTAGGTGATCATTAAGATGAGTAACACTTACAAAATGCCGTCTACAGTACTGGCAAATAACTTTTTTGCTTTGCATTTCAAGAAAGCGCTTGGCATCTTCATTATCCTTATGCCCCTTTACATGAGCAATTAAATTTTTGAAGTACTTAAAGCCCTTTTTACAAAAAGTTACAGGGCAATTAAATTCATTAACAGGTACTGGTTTCTGGACTGGGATCACTTCTGGTTCATAAGATTTATCTTTGTCATCAGTCTCATCATCTGAACCATCATTGTCATTAAATACTATGAAGTCTGTTGAATAGAGACTATTCTTTTTTATAGGCCGCTGTTCCTGCTTGGTCACAGCATTAGTCTTCTGATTCTCATTGGTAGTTGCGATCTTAGGTGGCCTCCCCAATCTTCTTAATGGTTTCATAGCTGCTAGTCTCTCCTTACTAGATTGTTTAACATGCAATGTGACATGAGGGACAAAAGTTTCTTTAGAATTGAAGTTCTTTGCACATATAGGGCAACTGTAAATCCCATCTTTGTAATGTTTTTGAGCATGTCGTACTATTCTATGACCAAGGAATTCTTTGTCACATAGCACACAATACTGCATGTAGGCTTGCCAATTCCTAAACCTAGCAGAAATAAATCCCCTCTCTCTTAATTGTTTTATCTCTCTCTTCTTCTGCTTTTCATCACAGATGTCTTTAAGAAGGCCAGAATTAGCACCAATTCCACCAGAAAGTCCATTCATAGAAGTTTCTTTAATCTCTTCCTGGTAGTCCACTACTTTCTCATAAACTTCACTGTCGTTTAGTTCATCTATCGAAGACACAATAGACGCTTCTTCCCCCATTAATGCAAGACATTGTCGTTTTAATGTTTTCCAATCCCAGAATTCTGGATCAAAGGGCCACTGAGTTTTCAATACAAGTAAGAGCTCACAGCGTAGAGAATTTGGTATTGGAAGATTTTCTTCATCATATTTCTGATCTGGCTGGTTATACAGCATTTCCACAGCATAATATGCATCTACTGTAGGCTCAATAAGAAATTCACTCAGTTGACAAGCACGTTTAACTTCCAGATCATCAGGCAACAGGCACGAAATGGTCTTGCAAATAGATATTTTCACTTCAGTATTTTCTGTAGATTCCAAACGAAGGGCTTTTACACATAATTCTATACAGGTGGCAAGTCCAGCCCCTTCAGTCTGTGAAAAAGCAAACAGGAAATGTTAATTTAATCTATACTAACACAGGTTTGTGAATTTAGTAATTTTGAAACTGACGTTTGCTATTCTCAAATTTTGCAGCAGCAACATATGAAATGCTGCCTCCTCTAAAGCACTGTAGCTTAGCCTTGTGTATGCATGTGTGTGTAAAATGAACTGTAAAGAATAGCAGAAAAAGGATAAGCATTGGGAACAAAGAGAAGACCTGGGTATAAAGTCATCTAATATAGCTAGGCAAACTTGGAAGTTATTAACTTCTCTAACCATTCACAGCCCACTTATAAAGATCAAAATAGCATTTAAACTTCATAAAACTGCTGTGAGCATTAATGAATATTATGCATCTAAAGTATCTGATATAGTTTAGTACAATGGTACTGGTACATAAGGAAATAATCAATAAATATCAACTTTATCACCAATCTTATTTCCTAAGTTTGTATTTACAATCCTTCTGAAATAAAAACCCTCTTAATCCAATTACAGAACTGAAAAAGTTCCTGTATTTCCTAACTTACTAGTAATGAAAGGAGATTTTCATTTTTAACAGAATAATTTGATCCTTCATAGGGGGGATTCTAGTTCTATTATACATTGGCTAAATGCCAAATCACATACCTCACTGTTGAACTATCTTAAAAATTAGAAGTACAAGGAGACACAATAAATGTTTTTCCTTTTGAATAAGTATCTTGAACTATTATTATAAGATAGCAGTAATGAAGGTTAAGAGTCATCTGAAGATATATGTAGTAAAGAGATAAAAATGGGTTTTAAAAGGACTAAGAGAACATAAATACAAGAAATAAGCCAGCTATTAAGACGTGGCCACAAGGGGGGTGGGAGGATGGGTTGGCCTGGTGGTGGGTATTGAGGAGGGCACGTTCTGCATGGAGCACTGGGTGTTGTGCACGAACAATGAATCATGGAACACTTCATCTAGAACTAATGATGTAATGTATGGGGATTAACATAAGAATAAAAAAATAAATAAATAAAAAGATGTGGCCACATTCATGAGAATGGAATATGTATTATACAAGATCAAAGGCAAAAAAGAAATAAGTAAAAAAAGCTGATAGGGTATTTTCACAGGCTAAGAAGGAAATAAAATATTTTACTAAAACAGAAGCTTAGATTTGTGGGCCAGTAGGAAAAGTGAGGGGAGGATACTAAATTGGCCTGACTTTAGGAAAAGCAAGGGCACAAAGACCAAGAAGAAAATGGACAAGAATAGATATAAGACCTATTTTTAAAAGTGACAGTGAGGAAAGGACAACAGGGAAAGAAGTGGGACCACATGGTTGTCTCCAGCTTTTACGTCAAACCTGTATAGTTATTTTCTACTATTTTGAGATAAATCTGAGCCAGAAAACTTTTACAGCAAAATATCTGCACCTCTCTTACATGCCTTAGGGGCTACTACTAATAATGGATAATTAGGTCACTGTCATAATATGAAGGGGAAAAAAAGACATGTGGTGACGAAAGGTTCATATTAGAGAGAAGACGTCTTGGAGAAATCAAAGGTCAAGTCAACCATAAAGATGATCTCAAGTGATAATGTAGACATATACCAGAAGGACTAGTAAGTATGTACAGAACGAGAATTCTGGAAAAGGCTGTATTTATTTAGAAAATTCAGGAAATGATGGAGAAAGAAATGATTTTAAGAAAGGATTCAGGAAACAGGTTTTGTGGATGCCATCTGCGTTGAGGAAGAGGACTGTAACTATTCTGTCATGTGACTGCTGATCCCTTCATAAACAACAAAAGCAGATTCAAAAATTCTACTTACTGTTTATAAAATGCAACTAAGATTATTTCAGAGAGAAACTCAACAGTTCTATTCTAATACAGTCTGCTATTGGATTCAAGGGTGCATTTCAACTCATTAAGGGCAAATGGCTTTGAATAAATTTGCTTTAAAAATATCTTAATGTTGTAATTAAATGTGAAATCTTAATGCCAACAAAACTATAACAAAGTTTTTATTCTTGTTTTCATCTCTGTGATTAAAAATTGTTGCTAGGTATATAACAAGTGTTTTTAAAGATGAATCTGAATTAGTAAGTTCCCATAAATATGTTGATTAAGCAACTAGCCTATAAAAATCTACTTAATTCATATCATTACTTAATAAGTTACTGATAACACCAACTTGAATTTAAGAGTGACAGGAGCAGAAGAAAGCTAAGTGCTAAAAATTCAGAGGAGGAATAGAGATTCACCCACGACTGACAATGATCCATCATGAGGCAACCTTCTGAAAGATAAAAGGTTTTATCTTTGGTAACCCCCCCCACTTTTCTGTTCCTTTTCTCTGACTGCCTAGTATCCTTGGCCCCAAGCTACCCGAGGCTTACAGACTGATTAGTTCTCCCATGTACATCCTATTTAGCCCTTCTCCATCCACACACAGCATCACGTCTTACCCTGCTTTAAAATTCTTAAATGGTTACCTTTGTACCTCAGAATTAAATATATTCTTACTGGGGAATACAAAAGGGCCTTCACAATCTTTAATAATGCCTCATCTGGTCTAGACTCATCTTTTATTTTTTGCCCTACCCAAACAGCCTATATACCAGGTAAACTGAGCTAACTGTAATTCCTCAAATATGCCATTCTCTCATTTGTCTTGATACCACTTGTGATACTGTCATATAATACATACATACATATTTTGGTTTTCATCCAGGGTTCCGAGCAAATAGCTCCTAAAACCTTTGTAATTTCCTAAGTGGTAAGAGCTGTAAGGGCATCTTTTGTTCCCAGCTCCTGAAATAGCTCCAGAGCCTTAAACTGTGAAAAGGTGCTATTATTAATAAGGCCCTTTTAACCACAAAAGAGTTTATGTTAATGAGGCGATTTTTGGAAATCCCCTAGATAACCACCGGATGGGGGCTGAGAGGGGAAGAAACCTGTGATTAGAGGGTTGGAACTTTCAGCTCTTGCCCACATCCCCACCCCCAAGGAAGGGAGAAAAGCTGGGGTCTGAATCAATCGCCAATGGTGGCTGATGATTTAATCAATTATGCTTATGTAATGAAGCCTCTCTAAAAACACAAAAAGAAGGGGGGTTCAGGGACCTTCTGCACTGGTAAACACGTGGAGATCTGGGAAGGCAGACTGCTCCTTGCCCTATGCATATCTTCCATCTGCTTCTTCCTGAGTTGTAGCCTTTCATAAAACCAGTAATCTAGTAGGTAAACTGTCTTCTTGAATTCTGTGAACACTCTAGCAAATTAATCAAATCTGAGGAGGAGGTTGTGGGAACTTTTGATTTTAGCCAGTTGGTCAGAAGCACAGGTGACAAACTGGACTTGTGATTAGCATCTGAAGAGGGGTGTGTGTGTGGCAGTCTTATGGGACTGTGCTATCTCCAGGTAAACAGTGCTAGATTTAAGTTGTAGGATACCCAGCTGGTGTCCACAGAATCAGAGATCTGTTTGATGTGGAGAAAATCCCCACACATTTGATGACCCAAAGTATTCAGTGAGTAGTGAAAAGGGGAGAAAACTTTTTTCTGTACACCACTTTCTATGCTTTCTCTATTACTAGAAACACTTTCCCCTCACTCAGAGTCAACACAGACAAGCGGGTTAGAATGCCCACCTCTTTTATTCAGTCAGCACTACTTTATACCAGGCACTGTGCTAAGCAATGTGCTCTCACGGGAGTCTTAGCACTCCACCAAAACTGAAAGACCCATACCATATTACAACTGTTTGTGTGTCTCCATTAGTAGACTATGAAAGCCTTAAGGGCAGGGCTGTATTTTTCAAATTTTAATTTCAAGGGTCTAGGAAAAAGCATGAATAAACCGGCCAATAGTCTTCAATAGTTCCTGGAATTCTCATAGAGGGCTACCGGTTAACCCAAATCACTAACCCTGAGACTAAATTACATCATGTGAAAAATAAGGAGTTATACCAGAACCTAGTCACTAGAGCATTAACTTTAAGGTCTCTTTTAGTCCTAAAATAATAATAACCTATGATTCTACTTTTTGGTTTTTTTTTTAAATATTTATTTATTTGAGAGTGTGACGCACACATGCCACTGGGGGTAGGGGCACAGGGAATGAATCTCAAGCAGACTCCCCACTGAGCCCCAAATCAGGGCTCCCTCTCACTGAGATCCTGACTGGAGCCGAAATCTAGAGTCAGATGCCTAACCAACTGAGACACCACCCAGGCGCCCCTATGATTCTAGTTTTAAGATAAAACCTCTAGGGACACCTGGGTGGATCAGGTGGTTAAGCAGCTGCCTTCAGCTCGTCATGATCCCAGGGTCTTGGGATGAAGCTCCGCATCAGGCTCCCTGCTCGATGGGAAGCCTGCTTCTCCCTCTCCACCGCTTGTGCTCTCTCCCGTGCGCTCTCTCTCTCTCTCTCAAATAAATAAAATCTTAAAAAAAAGAAAACCTCTGATCAGATTTCAGAAAGTAAAAAACAAAGGGAAAAACATTTTTGCAATAGGAAACAAGATTTTTGGGGCAGAGTACTTAATTAGCAAGTTGCAAGCTATTCTTGTGAATAGGTGAGCTCTCCCGGACCAACTTTCTAAGCTATTATTCATGCTTTTAACTGCTTTTTTAATGGACTTTACTTCTGAAAAAAGTCTCTCCAGAAAGATACTATTCAACAGAACTGTCCGTGATGACAGAAGTATTCTTTATGCTATTCAATATGTCACTAGCCACATGGAGCTACTGAGCACCTAAAATGTGGTTACTGGCTACCATAATGGAAAGTGTAGCTCTTGTCCAAGTTTTTCCCTCTCCAACACAATCTCCTCGTGAGAGGGGTGTTAAGGTTGAGGGAGGAGAGTCACTTTTACCTAATCTCCTTGATTAATCTAAGTAAGAAATGAAATACAAACTGGTTAGAGTTACCAGGTGGTCAAGAGAAAGTCGAGATTTATACCCAATCTGTCTGGCTTCTAGTTTCAAGCTCCTTCCACTTTGCTATACTGC